AAGTATTGTTGGGTTTGGTTTGCTAGTATTTTATTGACAATTTTTGCCTCCATGTTCATCAGGGATATTGGCCTGTAGTTCTTTTTTTCAGTGGTGTCTCTCTCTGGTTTTGGTATCAGGATAATGCTGGCCTCATAGAATGAGTTTGGAAGTTTTCCTCCCATTAAAAGAAATTTAACTTTTAATTTTAATTTAATTTTTTTAATAGTTTGAGAAGAATAGGTATTAACTCTTCTTTAAATGTTTGGTAGAATTCCCCTGGGAAGCCATCTGGCCCTGGACTTTTGTTTGTTGGGAGATTTTTTTTTTATTACTGATTCAATTTCTTTACTCGTTATTGGTGTGTTCAAGTTTTCTATTTCTTCCTGTTTCAGTTTTGGTAATTTATGTTTCTAGGAATTTATCCATTTCTTCCAGATTGCCCAGTTTGTTGGCATAATTTTTTCATAATATTCTCATAATTATTTGGATTTCTGTGGTGTTGGTTGTTTCTTATCCTCTCTCATTTGTGATTTTATTTATTTGGGTCCTTTCTCTTTTATTTGGTAAGTCGGAGAGGGTTGTCAATTTTATTAATGTTTTCAAAGAACTACCTCCTGGTTTCATTGATCCGTTCTATTATTTTCTTAGTTTCTATATCATTTATTAGTGCTCTAATCTTTGTTATTTCCTTCCTTCTGCTGGCTTTAGGCTTCATTTGTTGTTCTTTTTCTAGCTCCTTTAGGTGTAAGGTTAGGTTGTTGATTTGAGATTTTTCTTGCTTCTTGAATTAGGCCGTTATTGGTATACACATCCCTCTTGCAATTGCTTGTGATCACCTCTCAAAGGTTTTGGACTGTCATGTTTTCATTTTCATTTGTTTCCATGTATTTTTTAATTTCCTCCTAATTTCCGCATTGACCCATTCATTGTTTAGTAGCGTGTTGTTTAACCTCCATGTATTAGTGGTCTTTCCAAATTTTTTCTTGTGGTTGACTTCTACTTTCATAGCATTGTGGTCAGTAAGATTGCATGCTTTCACTTCAATCTCTTTGTATTTTTTGAGGCCAGATTTGTGACCTAGTATGTTGTCTATGCTGGTGTGTCCATATGCACTTGAAAAGAATGTGTATGCTGTTGTTTTAGGATGGAATGTTGTGAATATATATGTTAAGTCCATCTGGTCCAGTGTGTCATTCAAAACCATTGTTTCCTGGTTTATTTTCTGTATAGATGATCTGTCCATTGATAGTGGGATGTTAAAGTCCCCTAATATTATTGTATTATTATCAATGAGTTTCTTTATGTTTGTTATTGACTATTTTATACATTTGGGTGCTCCCATGTTGGGTACATAAATACATACAATTTTTGGATCTTCTTGTTGGATTGTCCCCTTTATGATTATAAAGGGCCCTTCTTCATCTTTTGTTACAGTCTTTGTTTTAAAGTCTAGTTTGTCTGGTGGCACCTGGGTGGCTCAGTCAGTTAAGCATCTGACTCTTGATTTCAGCTCAGGTCATGATTCACAGTCCTGAGATCAAGCTCCACATCAGGTCTTCACTCAGTGGAGAGTCTGCTTGGGATTCTCTCTCTCCTTTTCCCTCTGGCCCTTCCAACCCCCTCCCCACTCATGCTCTCTCTAAAATAAATATATAAACCTTGAAAAAAATAAAGTCTAGTTTGTGTGACATAAGTACTTCTCTCGAGGCACCTGGGTGGCTTAGTCGGTTAAGCATCTGACTCTTGATTTTGGCCTGGGTCATGATCTCAGGGTCATAAAATCTAGCCTTGTGTCAGACTCCATGCTCAGTGAGGAGTCTACTTGAGATTCTTTCCCTCTGTCCCTCCCCCACCTCTGTCTCTCTAAAATAAATAAATCTTTTTAAAAAGTATTTCTCTCCAGCTTTCTTTTGACATCCATTTGTGACATAAATTTTTCTCCATCTCCTCACTTTGAATCTGCAGGTGTCTTTAGGTCTAAAGTGAGTCTCTTGTAGCCAGCAAATAGATAAGTCTTGTTTTTTATCCATCTGACACCCTATGTGTTTTGATTGGAGTGTTTAATGCATTTGCATTCAGAGTAATTATTGATAGATATGTATTTAATGCCAGTTTATCACTTGTTTTATCATTGTGTCTAGAAATTTTCTCTGATCCTTATTTTTTTAAAGATTTATTTATTTACTTTAGAGAGAGCATGGAGGGGAGGGACAGAGGGAGAATCTTAAGCAAACCCTGCTGAGCATGGAGCCCAACACAGGGCTCCATCTCACAACACTGAGATCACGACCTGAGCCAAAACCAAGAGTCAGATGCTCAACTTACTGCACCACCCAGGCACCCCTCCTTTTTTGTCTTTGTCACTTTTGGTTTTTTTCTCTCCACTCAAAGAGTCCCCCTTAATATTTCTTGCAGGGCTGGTTTTGTGGTCATGAACTCCTTTAGTGTTTGTTCTTCTGGGAAACTTGTTATCTCTCCTTCTATTCTGAATGATAGCCTTCCTGGATAGAGTATTCTTGGCTGCCAATTTCTCCCATTCAGCACGTTTAATATATCATGCCACTTTCTTGTCTCTTGCCAAGTTTCTGTTGAGCCATCCCCAGCTAGCCTTATGGTTTTTCCCTTATAAGTTAAGGACTTCTTTTATCTTGTAGCTTTTAAGATTTTTTTCTTTATCACCATATTTTGCAAATGTAATTATGAAATGTCTTGGTGTTGGCCTGCTTTTGTTGATTTTGATGGGAATTTTGTGTGCCTTCTGGATCTGGATATCTGGTTCCTTCCCCAGGTTAGATACATTATCAGCTATTATTTCTTCAAATAAATTTTCTGCCCCCTTTTCTCTCTCTTCTTCTTCTGGGACTCCTATAATATGAATGTTATTGTGTTTGATAAAGTCACTGAGTCCCCTAAGTCTATTCTTGTGTTGTATAATTCTTTCTCTTTTGTTCACCTTCATTACTTTTCATTCTTTTGTCTTCCAGGTCACTGATTCATTCCTCTGCCTCTTGCAGCCTGCTGTTCATTGCATCGAGCCTATTTCCAATCTTATTTATTGCATTCTTCTTTTCTGATTGATTGTTTTTTAACACTTTTATCTCTGTGGTAAGGGATTCCCTGATATCTTCCATTCTTTTCTCAAGCCTAGTGAGTATTCATATGATTGTTGCTTCAAATTTTCCATCAGGCATGTTACTTATCTGTTTTGCTTACATCTCTAGCCATGGCCTTATCTTGTTCTTTCATTTAAGATAAATTCCTCCATCTTTGTGTTTTGTCTAAGTCTCTACCTTCATCTCTGTGTTAGAAAAGCCAGTTATATCTCCTACTCCTGAATGTAATGGCCTTAAGACAAAGGGGTCATATAGTGCCCAGGGCCCAGGCCTTCAGGGATTGTCTCTGATGTGTGCTTCGTGTACTCTGCTGTTGTGTTTAGGCTTCTCTATCCTTCAGGCCAGTCATCTGCAGAGGCTCTCCTTACCTCCAGTGGGCAGTGTTTGGTTCCTGTCCTGAAAGAGGTGAGTTTTAACTAGGTGTGCTCTGGTCTTCTTGAGAAATGAGGTCTGACACCACCTCCACCAGAACTGAGACCCTGCAGAACTCTCTGGTTGGGAGACATGGTCTGGGCAGGGGTTTGTGCTGGTCTTCTTGGGGAGGGCCTCACCGCACTGGGACTGAGGCAAGTATGCCTGAGAAGGGCAGTCCTACCAGTGTGCAGGGGTGTGGTGCTTGGTGTAAGCAAGTTAGACAGCCAGTGTTGGCACTGCTGTGTTTCCCGCAGGTGGCTCTGTATTAATGCTGATGGGCAGGGGAGGAAAATGGTGCAGGCCAGCTCCTTTGTCCTGGAGAGGCATCTCTGTGGATGTTGGCTCTCAGGGAGGTGCTCTGAGAAGAGTGAATAATCTCCCTTCTATGTGCCCCAGGTGTTCTTCAGATCATTGTTTCCACACCCTCTGCCCCTGCATTGTTTGCCTGCCTTCTCTCCAGGAGCAGCAAAGTGCCCTCCAGGCTCTGTCCCAGCCAAGCTTGCTGACCTTTAAAACTCAAGGCTTTAAACGCTGCTGTTTGCAAGAACTCATGAAATTCAGCCCCTCCCCTTTTCCAAGCCAGTGGCTTTGGGGAAACATTCTTGTACATTCCCCTGTGTGCTTCTCTCTCTTTTGCCCTTCTCCATGACCATGGCTCCCTCCCCTCTGCAGCACCTGTGATCTGTTTCCCCCCAAACCTTGTCTCCCCACTTCCTACCTTTTTCAATGTGACCTCTTCTCTTCCTTTAGTTGTGGAGTTTGTTCTGTCAGTCTTCAGTTCTACTTCTGGGCTATTTAGAATGATTTGTTAGTTATCTCATTGTGTTCATGGAACAAGACTTGCCTAGGGTCCCCCTATTCCACCGCCACTTTCCTTTCCCCCTGGCAACTATTTTTTAAATCTCAAACTGCCAAGTACATTATTATGCAAAGAGTATAAAGAAAGTGATTATCTGTACATTAAGCAAGCTGATTCAGAGTATACTTTACTTCCCCAAAATGCTCAGATTGGAAACAAAAACATTTGTGCCATAAATGATGTTGCTTGTTAATTCCAAAGCCTCTTACATTCTAGATACCTCATTCCTTTTTGAAACACAGCAACACCAAAGTACTTTAATAGCTATTTCAATTACGTCCAATCAAAAAGCATGAGATAGGGTAATTTTGTGAGTAGCAAGACCCAAAGCATCCCATTAAAGCCAGATGATGTTGAGTTGTCATCACAGCTATCTAATACCTACCAGTATTAAAGATCAGATAATGCTTATAAATAAAATAATCTTATTTTATAGTACATCAACCTGACTACTCTTGGAATGTGAATATCTCAACTGATTACAAATGCTTTGGTATAGCACACCAGTCTTTAGAGATCTGCAGATATCTGCTGTCTACAGGGATTGAACAAAAAGGAAATATACCAGTGAATGAATACCCACCCATACAAGAGAAAGGGTCATTTAATCACTTTCACTTTTCAACCTACAGATTATCCAGAAGCTTCATCATCTCTCACCGTGGAAACAGAAACATAGCAGTTTACACATTTCCTGCATCTCTCAGGTCAGTATTCTGAGGGAGACACCTAGAGTGCTAAGAGGCAGTCTTGGAAGCAGACTCGAAAAGAAGTAAGTTCTTGCTCTGGTGAACAAGATGTTAAATTCTTCACCCTGATATTATTCACATAAGCAGAAATTCTATATTTAATTTATAAACTTGACTAATAGCCCTTATAATGTGTTTCCATTTCTGTAGACCTTACATAGAATTCATGTACATAACACTCCATCTCCCAAAAATTTTTAAATTAAATACCCATTTATTTACAACTTAAAATTAACAAATGCTAACATATTTTTAAATTTTGCTTCAAATTTTTATAGGTAAAGATATTTTGCCCTAATTTTTACACAAAAAGCACTGATTCTAAACATTTCCTTCAAAATGAAAAAACAAACTTGTAGAAACATTTGCAAAATACATAATACACAAAATTTAACATCCTTAATTTACAAAAATCTTGTAAATCAGAAAGGAAAAAAATACAACCATTAGAAAATGGGCAATCAACAAATGAAAGTTAAAATGAAGAATAAACATGAAAATTGTTCAACTTCATTAGAAAGAAATGCAAATTAAAATAACCCAAAATATCAATTTTTGTCTACTAAAGCAACCAATTTTTATAAATTATAGTACTTAGTATTGATAAGGACACGTTGAAACAGGTATCTTATATACTGCTGATGTAAGTTTAAATTCATACATCATTTTTATGGCAATTTAATAACATATATAAAAACCATAAAATGTTCATACAATTTTATTTGATAATCAAATTTTAGGAATGTATTTTAATGATATTATCAGAGATCTGCACAACTATTCATTATCAACTTATCATAATACCAGAAAAGTAGAAACAAAACTAAATATCTAAAAATAGAGGAATGGTAAAATAAATTACTACATTATTATGATGAAATAGTTTGCACCATTAAAAGTAACTACTTTGAAGAATAATTAATAGTTATGTTAAAAAGCTGTATGAATGCAGTTTAATTTTAAAAGTACATTTTTATCAGCTTTATTGTGATATAATTCACAATACCATATGATTTGACCACTTAAAATGTACAATTCAGTGGTTTTTAGGATATTCACAGAGTTGCACAACCATCATCACAATTAATTTAGAATATTTAGAAACTCCATACTCTTAAGCAGTCACTCCTCATTCCTCCATTCCCACTTCTTGGTAACTACTAATCTACCTTTCTGTCTCTATAGATTTGTCTATTATGGACATTCCACATAATTCATGATCCCATGGAATTATATATGTGGCCTTTGATGAGAAAATATTTGCAAATCAAATATCCGATAAGAGACATATATGCAGAATAATAAACTTTTACAATTCTATAATAAAAAAAGCCAATTTTTAAAAAAATGACAAAGGATTTGAATAGATAATTCTCCATGTGTAAATGATTGATAAGCACATGAAAAGATGCTTAACATTATTAGCCATTAGAAGAACACAAATCAAAACCACAAGATACCACTTAGGTGGTATCTTTTGGATCCACTAGGATCCAAAAGACAGATGATAATAAGTGTTGACAATGATATGGAAAAATCAGAAACCTCATACATTGCTGATTGGAGTGTAAAATGGTTCAGTGACTTTGGAAAACAGTTTGATAGTCTTTCAAAATGTTAAACATAGAAATACTGTATGACCCAGAAATTCCAGTCCTTGTATATAATGAAGAGAAATGAAAACATATGTCTACACAAAAACTTCTACATGAATGTTCACAGCAGCATTATTCATAATGGCCAAAATCTGGAAACAACCCTAACATGTATCTGCTGATAAATAGATAAATAAAATGTGGCATATCCATACAATGGAATACTATTTGGCAACCCAAAGAATACATGTTCCAACATGGATGAACCTTGCATTATAAAATTACATTTTAAATTTTAATTTAAAACTTTTAAGTATTAAAATATATTTATATGTAGAAAAACACTGAAAAGAAATATAATAAAAACATAAGTAAGAATTAAATTTTTACATGGTTACTCCCTTCTCTATCTAACTGACTGGAGAAAGCCTTCAACTTCTCTCTTGCCAATATATTTTTTGAAGTATAATTAAAGTACAGTGTTATATTACAATATGGTTCAATTGTATACATTACTCAATGCTCATCAAGATAAGTCGTACCCTTGTACTCTTTATGTATTTCACCTCTCCCCCACAACCTTCCCTCTGGCAACCTCTTGTTGGTTCTCTGTATTTAAGAGTAGGGGTTTTTTTTTGTTCATCTTTTTCTTTGTTCATCTGTTTTGTTTCTTAAATTCCATATATGAGTGAAATCGTATGGTATTTGTCTTTCTCTGACTGACTTATTTCACTTAGCATCATACATTCTAGGTCTATCCATGTTGTTGCAAGTGGCATTTCTTGCCAATACTTATATTGCCCTAACTCCATTGCCTCAGCCAGAAAAAAAATTCCAGATTCAGTCCATCTGCCTTCTCCATTCCTATACTCAGGCTGCTGAGAACTACTACAAAAATAACACAACTGATTATAAATACTGATTGCAACTTTTTACAAAAAAACACAACTGAGATTACACATTTGTGATCTCCGGCCTAAACTGGCTTGAAATATCTTCACTACTTACCTCCTTACCAGTGTTCTTTCCTCTATTAACCACAACTTCATACAGTTTCTCATATCACTCCTATCCGTTATCATAATGAAAGTCCTAACACATGCAGTAGTGCTAGAAAAAGATATAAAGGCACTCTGGTAAAGAAAAAAACTATCCTGATTTGCAGATGACATGATTGTCTACATAGACAATTCAAAGAATCTACAAAAACTCTTAGAACTAATGAGTTTAGCTAGTTCACAACACATAAGATCAATACACACAAACATCTATTGTGTTTCTATACACCAGCAATGCACAATTTGGAAAGCAAAATTAAAAAACACAGTACCACCTACAATAACTCCTGCAATTAAATAGCCAGATATAAACCTAACAAATCATATATAAGATCTGTATACTGAAACCTACAGAACACTATGAAAAAGACCAAAGAAGCCCTAAATAAATAAATAAATAAATAAATAAATAAATAAACAAACAAACTATGTTCATGAGTCAGAAGACTCAATAGAGTTAGGATTTCAGTGTTCCCCAGATTGGTAGACAGTTTTAATGCAATCCCAATTAAAATTGTAGCAGGATTTTTGTAGATATAGACAATCTGATTCTAAAATTTATATGGAAAGGCGAGGGAACTACAGTAGCCAAAAAAAATCTTAAAAAGAAAGTTAAAGTCAGAACACAAAATCTGTCCAATTTTAAGACATACTATAATTCCACAGTAGTCAAGACAGTGTGTTATTGGCAAAAGGATAGACCCATAAACCAATGGAACAGAATAAAAAGTAAAATACAGAAATAGACCCACATAAAGATGGTCTGTTGATTTTTACACAAAGATGTAATGGTAATTCACTGGAGAAAATACAGTCTTTTCAACAAAGGGTGCTAGAACAACTGGACATCACTACAAAAGCGCACTTCATAACATAAAAAAAATGAATTCAAAATGGATCATATACCTATATGTAAAATATAAGACTATAAAACTCTTAAAATGTAGGAGAAAACCTTTGTCACTTTGACTTAGGCAAAGTTCTTAGATATGACATCAAAAGTAAAATACATAAAAGAAAAAATTTACCATTTAGACTTGAACAAAATTTAAAATGTTTTCTCAAAAGAATGCTGTTAGGAAAACAAAAAGACAAGCCACTGATGGGGAGAAAATACTTACAAAATATGTATCTAATAAAGGACTTGTATCCAGACTATATGTAAAGTGCTGTAAAAGCTCAGAAATAAGAAAAGAAACACCATAATAAAAAATGGGCAAAAGGTTTGAAAGGACACTTCACCAAAAAAGTGGAAATAAGCAGAAGAAAAGATGTGCAACATCACTAGCCATTAGGAAAATGCAAATTAAAACCGCAAGGAGAATCCTTTACACTCATACTGGAATGGGTAAATTTAAAAAAAAATAGTGAAAATTCCAAGTGTTGAGAAGGATGAAGAATAATTGGAATTCTCCTACATTTCTGGTAGGAATGCACAATAGCTCAGGTACTCTGGAAAACTGTTTGGCAGTTTGTTATAAAGTTTCTTATAAAGTTAAATATACATTTACCATATGACACAGTAATCCCGTTCTTGAATATTTCCCCTAGAATAATGAAAACCAGTGTTCATACAAAATTAGTATATGAAGATAACAGCTGTATTCTATCTGAGATGGTGGTTACAAGATTATATTCATTTAAATTTAAAAATTAAACAATAAAGCAAAAATTTTTTAAAATTCTGTCATGCTTCTCTCAAACTTCCTACAATTTCTTTCCTTCCCCCCTATCATCAGGGAGGTCTTATTGAAATAATATCTCCCCAAACTTTGCTAGGTTTTTTCCTGGCCATCACATTAATCTAGTCATTCCTTAGGAAATCTATCCATTCCTTGGCTAAAGAATGTGTGTATATATAATATATATGAAATATATAATTATGTATATATAATATATAATTATGTGTGTATATGTATACACACAATATACCCTATTATATATACACATATATACATATATATACACACACACTCACACATACACACACACACACACTGACAACTTACTAAATATGTTTCTCCAACCCAGGACTTTCCTGAACTCCAGACCTGAATAACCAAGTGCCTTTCAACTTCACCCATCCAAAAACCTATTTCCTGTTTTGTTCCCACTCCTTCATCTTCCACCCACATCCAATTAATCACCAAGGTGTGTTAACTGTGTTTCCTAAATATCTCTGGAACCTGTGTACTTTTTTTTATACTGATGACCATGACCCCAGATCATGTGTCCCCTGTATTGCTGTAGTAGCCTCTTAACTGGTTTCCCTGCCTCCAATCTTGCCCCTCGTCCAATCCATTCT